AGCTGTTCAACTAATATAAATCAATCTGAGTGTTATTCAGCTTAAAAAAGGATCAACACATTTGTAAGTATTTGGGTAAATGTCTCTGATGTTAGATGACAAAATAAATATGGATTAATTTGTCCTTGTCTTGACATTAGTCAGTGCAACCTTGTAAGATTCTTCATACACGGTTTTCTAAAAGCAGAAAATGAAATCTAACTTGGAACATTGAAGAGTGCCAGAAAAATGGTCAGTGTATCCATTCTGAAATGTCAAGTTGACCCAGACAATAGAGGCAGATTTTCAATTTGGCATCACCATAGAAAACTGACAATCGATACTAAGTTCTAGACCAACAGAAGGTGGAAAGATGGGCCAACTAGTGGAGGGGGGTGGTGGTCTGCATTTGAGATTGGTTGATACCGGAAACTAGAGACATGAATCTTGTCTCAGAATTTCTTTTAAAAAAAAACTTTATGAAACCTGTAATCTCAAATGAGAGCAAAGACCACTTTTATTTTACTTGCGTAGCAGTTTTGTATTTGTATCTAACCTATGAATTAATTCCACTGTATACCTGGTCCACAAATACTGAAATATTTTTCAGGGGTACAAAATTTAAACTAAGTGATAAAAAGAGACAAGAAGAAATACCAGCAAAAAAAAAAAAAGGTAACAAAAAACAAAATTACCATAAAGTGGTAATATTGAGATTACTACTTTATGGTAATGTTATTTTTTATATTACCACTGGTGCTCAATGCTTTCCACCTATTTTTTTTAAATCACAAGACGGATTTCATCACTAAAACCATAGTCAGAACAAGTTCCTTCTTGGAATGAAAAATGTCACTAAAGAATTTTAACATCTTATTCATTTAAATACTATTATTCTGATATACTTTAATTTTTATCTTTCACACACACACACACATTATATATATATATATATATATATATATATATATATATACTTTGAGGTATCTGTTTCATGAAATGCAATATTCATGATGTTCACATTTATATAATTATATATATGCCCTATCTCTGATATTGAGCACTTTTACTCATAAATATAGCATACCTTAAACTATATTATATATATATATATATATATATATATATATATATATATATATATAATAAATATATATATACCTACCTTCAAAGTGCAACTTGTTTCATTGTTCTATCAACTCATCAGGCATTTATTACAGGTCAGATGACTGCATCCCCAAGTTCTGTCAAATGTAGGTATATGTATATTTATTAATATATACTTCTTAAAAAACATTGAGCACCAAAAAATTTTAAATATTTATTTGCTTACCTGTGTATGCACACTAACACACATATATATGGATTCTGATATCTATTTATTTGATTTACCCACCTCAATACCGATGATATATATATATTTTATAAGACTTTTTTATGTTTATGCATTTATAAAAAAAAATGTCTTAAAATAATTGTTGGACTTTGTCCATTTCATAATGTGTTATATATATATATATATATATATATAATATAAATAGATTAAGTCTGGCAATTATTTATATATAATATTTTCTATAAAAATAATGTATAAACAGAATATATAAAGATTTAATGGATTTATTTTTAATCTGACATTTTTTCATTACTTAAAATGTTATTATTATGGACATTTCATATTTGAAATAGACACCCCATTTTTAGTTATTAAACAGTGTGTATTATGTCTATTGGCCTATGCCATTTTATGTGTTCTCCAACTAAAACCTGCATCCCCCCTTTGTAGGGGGATTTTTATTCCTAAAATTTCACTTGAAGATGAAATGGGACTAAACACCTCAATTCAACTTAATTTTAATAATTATTTGGATGGTTTTGGCTCTTGTTTTTGAAACATGAGAACTCTTATGTAGCGAAGGAATCATATTTTTAAACAAAAAAATATTATGATATAATATATATATATATATATATATATATATATATATAAACTGCAAACTTTGCTTGGAGGAAAAACTAGCTATTATTATCTTCCCAGACCAAAAGAAACTACTAAATAAACAATCAGAATTCATCTCAAAATGCAGACATGAAAACAAATTTTTACTCTTACTAAAAATCGAAAACTGAAAAGAATAAATAAAAATAAAAACAAGTAAAATAAATTAATCCACATAAATAAATAAATAAACAAATTAACAAACCACTTCCACCATAACTGTTAGAATAGACTGAAAAGAATAAATAAAAATAAGAAACAAATAAGAAAAAACAGAAAAGTAAAAATAATAAATCCAAATAAAGAGATAAATTAAGTAAATAATAAACAAATTAACAAACCACTCTCACCAAAATAACTGTTAGAATAGACTACAACAATCAATCCGATAATTGCACAAAAAAATATCTTTAATTACCTTCGCAGACCAAAACCAACCACTAAATAAACGATCAGTACTCATCTCAAAAAATTTTTTTACTACATTACTAAAATATTGAAAACCGAAAAGAATATATAAAAAAAAAATAAATTAATCCAAATAAATAAACAAACCACTCCTGCCAAAATAACCTTTAGAATGGACTACTCACATTGCACCAATGACCTGTATATATAAATAGTGGAGAAAAACTCTACATGATGATTGTGTCTAGCATGAAACAATTTTTTGCCTCTGAGTGTTGAATTCAATGTTCATTATATATATATATATATATATATCCCCTGAATAACACTCATGAACAGCTGAATAACTGTTCCTGAAAGATGGGTTAAAAACAACAAAAATGAAATAATAGTAAACTGCTTTGAAAATTTGTTGTGTAAGGGAATTCTGAAAAAAAGAAAGATATTTTAGATGTTTCTTGGTATAAACAAAAAGGGATACTTATTTGTGTAAATAAAAACAGGATATTTCTTTGCTTAAATAACAAGAAAATTTTTTTGTGTTAATAAAAAAGGGATAATTCTTTGTGTAAAAATACTTCCATGGCAATTGTTCTGATGAACTCTCCTCTGTGGAACCTAGACTTACAGTTGTATTAGCGAGATGTAACCATAAGTTTTATGCTAACACTTTCTTTTCTTGAACATATCTTTTGGTTTCTTGCTTTCCAGTTAATTTTGATCTTCAAATATTTAAGTGCAATATCAATTGTTATCTTCTGTTGTCGTAATTTCTGTTCTTTTTTTTTTTCCTGGTAAAACTTTTGTTTTGTTTTATGGCCTATCAATCTCAATGGGTCATTTAAATCCAACAACTTCTTTTTCCTGGTAATACTTTTGTTTTGTTTTGTTTTACGGCATATCAATCTTAATGGGTCATTTAAATCCGACAACTTCTTTTTCCTGGTAATACTTTTGTTTTGGTTTGTTTTCTTTTACGGCATATCAATCTCAGTGGGTCATTTAAATCCAACAACTTCTTTTCCTGGTAATACTTTTGTTTTGGCAAAAATCTATTTCTGGTACTATTTTTTTTTTTTTAAAAAACTCATTGCTGGTAATTTTTTTTTTTCAAAAATTTATTTCTGGTAATAATTTTTTACAAAGTATTTCTGTTATTAAAACCAATTTTTACAGTTTTTACCACAGTTTTGGTGTTAACTATTTGCCCATAGCTGGGACCCTAACAGATGCTACCACCCCAGGTCAGGGTGGATCTGGGAACACCAGCAATTAAGAGGTGGTTCCACGCTCCTCAAACCCTCCTGATCAGAGGCCTTGCTGTTGGATGTAATTTATTGTCTTACTCAGGATGCGGATGTAGTTTATCGTCATACCCAGGATGGGGTAACTGAATAGTCAAAAATTAATAAGCCTTACATTCCTAATCAGCTTTGGTGAGTTGGAAAAAAAAACAACCCAAAATTAACAAATAGGGAGCAGGGATGTTTATTTGGCACCTGAGAGTAGACATACATCAAGTAATTAATTGTGGGGGAGTGAATAGAAATTTTTTCTCTTGGATGACTACTGTAGTGAGTCTAATCCTCATTGAGTGATCTAAACTTGTGACTTTTTGCCATAGAAAATAAAGATCTTTAGCAATCAAACTTTTCCTTTCATAATTGCTAGGATGATGAGTTATCATTTTGTTGTAGAGTAGTTTTCACAGTGGAGGCTTGTATTTCACTAAGTCGGTCCTAAAACGGTCTGACGTACAAAACGTTAGGAACTTGAAATAATAGTTAATGACGCAGCAATCTAGTTGTGATGGTTGATACTTTAATGTCCGACATTGACTGACACACCAATTCCACTGAGCCCTGCCGACTGCTACTACTACTACTTATTATAAGTGGGAGAGTCTATTAACAATAGAATAGGTATGTTCCGGTATAACACATTTAAACTTGGACCTCATCTTTGTAGTTGTACCTTCCAGCCTCCTTCAAGTGCTTGTCAATCCTGGTAACTTTCAGGGAATTTCAAACTGTACCTTTTATTTAATGGTGGTTGATTGTCCTTATTCTACAGACCATTTCTAGGGATATCTCGTCTAATTCTTATTTCAGTACTGTTCAGTCATAAATTATGTGTGCACTACTTGGCCCAGGAATCGAATTCGCAATTACATTTTTAAAAAAATATCATTTCACCCTACGATGAAGCCACTAAAGATGCAAAAGATTTACTGAAATAAAAAGAAACTGCAAAAACATAGAATAGAAAGGAAAATAAAAGAACAGAATTAAAAAAGAAAGAATTGATTGACATTGAATTCAAATTTTTGAAGATTGTAGTTGACAGGAAAGCAAGAAGCCAGAAGAGAGTTCTACAGGTGAGAAGTGTGAGAGAAGAAACTATTAAAATAGAACTTGTGGTTACATCTAGCTAATTCAACTGTAAAATAATGAGACCTAACTGCCAATCTAGTACTGTGCTTAAATTCATACTATGTCACCAAATTCATGAACAAATGCTTCAATCCATTGGGACAAACCTAAGCATAGAACTTAAAGCCTTAAAACTAATCTGCCTGCCAGACAGGTTTTTCTTTATTTCAACATGTGATTACCTGAAAATTTTTAATCAGTTGATCTGTTGTGATACCCAGGTGTATTTGGCAGGCTCCAATATTGCAGAAACAACCAACACGAAGATGAATATTGTTTGTGGCAGCCATCTTTGCAACCTGAAAAAGAAAAAAAATAATAATTTCTCACTATTATTACATTATTCCATTATTTATTTTTAATTATTTATTATTAAATTATTACAGTATTCTTTATTATAGCATTATACATTATTATACATTATTACATTAGACATTATTTATTATAGCATTATTTAATCTAAAGGAGTTGATTGTTCTCATTCCACTGTCTAGGGATATCTTGTCTAGTTCATATTTAGTACTGATCAGTTATAGCTCTCCTCAGTTTCCACAGAGTCTAAATCTGCATGACCCAGCCCAGGGATTGAACTTTGAATTACTACATCACCAGATTCATGAACAAATTCTTTAATCCACTTGGCCATTGTTCTGTAGGACAATCCTAAGTGTTGCATATATAGTAATTAAGAAAAAGAATTCTCTAACTCTGTAGATTGAATAAAGAGTTCTGCTTGAAAATTCCCAGGATGTTATGAAGCACAAAAACAATAAGTACCTGAAATGGATAAATTATCCAATAGCAGACAAAATCAAAGAGGAATTATCTATTATTTACGCTTGACTCATACAATGTTTCAATTTTATCGTGTGCTTGTCAATCCAATTAAGGTTCCGGGAATTTCAAATTAAACTCTTTATTTAATCTACAGTACGAGATTGTTCTCATTTCACTGCCTATGCTTAGGGATATCTCATCACCTGATGAAGGCTGGAGGCCCCATTTACATGCTGATTATTGTCTTCATCTTTGTTGTGCTCATCACAATGTTTCAGCCATTGTACCCTCTCACCTTCATCAGGTGATTGTCAATACAGGTAATGTCCATGTCTAGGGATATTTCATCTTGTTCTTATTTTGTACTGCTCAGTTATGGCTCTCCTCTGTTTCCCCTGATTAAACCAGTACTACCCAAACCTGGGATTGAACTCAAAATTACTATGCAATCAGATTCATGAATGAAGACTTTAATCTTGAAGGCTATTGAAAATCCTGACTAGAGAGAAGGACAGTGGAATGAGAACAATCTGTTCTTATAGATTAAATAAAGTGTTTAGTTCAAAATTCTCTGAAGGTTACTTAAATTAATAGAAACTTGAAGAAGGTCACAGAGCACAATTCCAAAATCTTTGTGATAATGACAAAAATGAGAAATTTCTCTGAATTTCTGGGATGAGGAGTTATTGCTTTTTACATGAAAACAATTGTCCTCATCTTTGTTGCTATCACAATGTTTCGACAATTGTACCCCCTGACCTTCATCAGGTGTATGTCAATCCTGGCAACCTACATGGATTTCCAAATTGAACCCTTTATTTAATCTATAAAGAAGCCTTTATTTAATTTGTGGGGAATATTTTGCGGGATATTAATACCAGTGATGTGACCTATTCAATATTGTGACATGCATCAGCTGTGTGGGTTTTTTACCCACACACAGTTTTCCAAGTGTTTATCCTTAATCTTGTGCAGGTGGAGCCATTGTTTAAATGCTCCTCAACTGGATTTGGTAATGGTGTATCATATTGGCAGGGTATAGTCGAGGATGATACGTTGTTTTTTTAACCTTATGCTGTACCAATAAGTTGCCTCCATTATTGTACACTGCTTTCTAGCTGGGATCCTTTCACAGCTGTGGCATCTCTCAATTGTGCAATCCTCTGAAGGTGCAGATGGATCCTTATGCCCCATTTGTTTCTGAACTCCCTAAAGTACTGGATGTAGGAAGCTGTGTTATTGTCAGTGAGTATCTCAACTGGGTGGAATCATCACTGAGAGAGCACCAATTCTAACTCACAGAACACCAATTTTAGCTGTAAGATAATGCAATGTCTTGCCAAATTGAGACCCATGTGTGCTTGCAGTTGATCAGCCTCTGGAAATTTTTTTTTTCATTGTAATGGGTGACATCAGTACCCAGCTTGCTCCAGGTTTCTCTCATATTTAAATTACTCTTTCTCCACTCTATGGGGGACTGGGTCTATAGACTGGCATGCCTCATGGTTCTGGCCCACAGACCTCCCTATTCCTTTCAACACAGACTTGTCTTATGAAATATAGCATCCTTCTGACTCTGGAGTGATCACTGTGTTGATGAATATCTGTCAGTTGACCAGAGCTTGGCCCTTCTGTGGCAGCAGTTCACAAAGGAGCGTTTTGGACTCAATTTCCTTTTTCCCAATATGAAACTCTTAGTGGCACTCTGGTTAAATCATCTGCTTGATTTTGGTTGGATCTCAAAATGGCCATATTTGTCCACAAGGGTGTTAAGTGTACCTCTTCTCTTCATAAGTATCTTGCTGGTGGCCTTGGTATTTGTTGTAACCTAGGGAAGGTTATTGAATAGTATAATGAAATGAATGTTGGTAATGAACAATAATACTTAAGACAAGAACAACACATATAAGATTCGCCAATGGCACATAAAAGTAGTCAACTGCTAGAAGTGAGTTAAGTGAATTCCACAATGAATCTCCAACTGTAGAATATCTACCAACCGCCCCACACGGTCAGATGTGGCACAAGGCCAAATTTAATGTGGTTTATCTGAGCCCATATGCTCAGGCAAAAATTCCCCATACACACTGTATAAAAGGGGGTCAGGTAGCTGTTTCCTGAGACGAGACTCGGCCCTTCAGAAAGTTCCCCACAAGTTTTCCACAGAGGGGAAAAACACGAGGTGAGCTGGGGAATGTTCAACAAATCTCTTGTTCACTTCAAGCCGCAATACTCTGGCATCATTTTGCAGGCTCCTTGGGGGTTTCTAAATCTCACCTGAAGTGGATGCCACATCTTCATGAACATAGATTGATATCGATATATGCTGATGCAAATATTTTTGTTTTATTTCTTTGACATTTTTCTGTTCCTCTCTTGTTCTTAATGAATTATACGATGCTGATGACAAAAAATTAAAAAAAAATCCAGTAAAAATTATTCATTCAATTCTAATTTATTCATTCATTAAAAAAAAAAAATAAAATAAAATTTTTTTCCTTGATTTTCAAAACTGTAACATATATAAAAACATATCTGATGTTTCTTAGTAGTGGTATCTCCATGCTTGGGGTGAAATAATATATATATATTTATGTCAATGGCCTAAGGACTAGAATCTCCAAGTGATACCAAATCGGTCAGGTTTCAGTCCTGGTCTGAAGTAATTGGATATCTAAACCACACTGACGAACTGTGATACAGCGAAACAGTCTGTCTGTGGATGATGATATTAGCTCTCAATAAAATAATTTAATCGGTCAAACACTAATATAAATAAAGTATTTGTACTGAATTAAGAACAAGACAAATGTATTTTCCCTTTAATTAAAACCTGAATATTACACTTACATGAAAAATGTTTTAGGTAAAATAGTGACCCTCCCAATAGTGACCATTAATTTATTTGTTATCAAACATCATTATTAATAATCGAGTGAACAAACATTCCTTTTAATAATTTTAGCTTGACTACCGTTGGACATACTTAGGAAAATCAGTTGTAATTTTTTTCCATTTTTGTTTTTAACAACTAAATTGATTTTATTCCTAATGATGAAATTAATATCAGAATCAAATAAAAAAAATGTATAAAAATAATAATAAAATGATATTGATGAAAATTTGTAAGAACATCTTGGAATTAGCTTTACAAAAAAGAACTGACAACCAAGATTCTTTCTTTTTATATGCCGTGTCCTTTCAGGATGTAGGCAGTCATGGCTCTCCACTTTCCCCATCCCTTGTAGCTCTCAGTAAGTGTTGTCCCTCTGCCACCCTCCCTCAGACCACGTTTTGTCATCCACTTGTTCAAGCCCGCCAGGTATGTCATGCGTTGTTTACCTTTATCTCTCTTTACCTCTGTTTGACCTGTGAGTATCAGATTCTCCAGGCCCTCCTTTCTCATTATGTGTCCCAGAAACTTCAGCTGCCTCCTCCTTGTTTGCATCCTCTCCAAGACTTCATCATTGCTCACTCATTCTGTTCATGATATTCTCAGCATCCTTCTGTAGAACCACATCTCCATCACCTTCTTCATCGCTTCTTCATCTTTGAGGAGACTGTCCAACATTTGCTGCTGTAAAGGAGGACAGATGTCATGTAACAGCTCAGTACACTTTTCTTTGTTACCAAAGAGATCCTCACAATACTCTGTCCAGCTTTTGGAATGTGTCCTTGGCCATCCCAATATGTCTGTGGATCTCAGGCCATCCTAATATGTCTGTGGATCTCAGTGTCACACTTGCTGTCCTATGTCAAAACACTTCCTAGATATTTAAACTTCTGCACCTGCTGGATTTTAGTGTCCCCCAACCTGTAAATCGTATTTCAGGCTCATGAAATCTAATACAATTGTCAAACCCCTTTTTTTTTAAAGATGTGAAAATGCTTATCTCTACTCTTCAAACCCTTTTATAATTCCTCTTGCAGAATTCTGTTTCATCTCTCTTGACAGCTATACCTTCTCCCTTAATTATCTTGTAGTGAGTGTGAAATAATAACTTCTTTTGCCCTTCAAATTCAGAGGACAGAGGAAAAAGACAGAAACGAATTTGAAAGCTTATGTGAAATTTTCTTTGTATCCATGAAAACCTTGCCTTTACAGAAATTGACCAGTGAGCTGAAGAGGAGGAGGAAATAAATTTGTGAGCCTATGTGAATTTGTTTTAGACCAATGAAAACCTTGTCTTCACAGAAATTAACCACTGTGCCAAGAAGAAGAAAGAAAAGAAAGTAGTGAGCCTATACAAAATTCTTTTTGATATAAAAGGTGGAGAAAAATTAATTTAATAAGAGAATAGTGTCTGAAGTCATGTGAAAGGCCAGCGACCAGTGTTCAAGTTCTTGCTAGTGTAAAATTATTCACCAATTATATTTAACCAAGCATGTAATACCTTAAAGTATTTTATTTCAATAATCTAAGAAAGCTAAGTATTTCAAACTATCTTCATCTACTTTTTAATCTATGTAATCGTATATCCCTTTGATGAGCAACAAACTCTCTTACCTTTTATTTTAAACA